GCAGATAACCCTCCATAATATGCATGAGCCTCATTCAATTAGTTGAAAGCCTTAATAGAACAAAGACTGACCTTGCCTAAGTAAGACAGAATTCTGCCAGCAGACTGCTTTTGGACTTGAACTGCAATTCTATCTGGGTCTCCAGACTGCTGTCCTACTCAAAATATTATGTACCTACCAAGCTACCACATTTGCATGAGCTAGTCCTTAAAATAAATTGTTCTATTTCTCTCTCTCTTTCTCTTTCTCTCTCTCTTTCTCTTTCTCTCTCTCTCTATAGATAGATAGATAGAAATATATATCTATCTATATAGATTTAATGACAGAGCCAGAATTTAAATGTAGAATGTAGGCTATCTGAGTACAGAAACTGATCAAATGTTTAACCATAATCTGATTAAAGGGTAATTTTTAAAAAGTATCATCTTTTTATGCCCTGTGAATTTGGGGAGAAGTCATTCTGGCTTATATATGATTTAACTTGAACTTTAGGCTAAACAAAACAACCTGTTTTTGTAACCTGATTAAAAAATGGGCAGAAGAATCAAATAGACATTTTCCAAAGAGGAAGTGCAGATGGTCAACAGGCACATGAAAAGATGTTCAGTATCAATAATCATCAGAGGAATGCAAATCAAACCACAATGAGATATCACCTTACACCTGTCAGAATGGTTATCATCCAAAAGAACACAAATAACAAACATTGATGAGGATATGAAGAAAAGGGAACCCTTGTACACTGTTTGTGGGAATCTAATGATGCAGCCACTGTGGAAAACAGTATGGATAATTCTCAACAATTCTACTCAACCATAAAAAAAGAATGAAATGTGTTGCAGCAAGATGGATGGACTTGGAGGCCATTATGCTAAATGAAATAAGTCACACAGAGAAAGGTAAAATACTGTACGATATCACTTACATATGAAATCTAAAAAATACAACAAAATAGTGAATATAATAAAAAAAAAAAAAAGAAGACTCACAGATACACAGAAGAAACTAGTGGTTACCAGTAGGGAGAGGGAAAGGGAGAAGGGCAATAGAGGGGTAGGGGAGTAAGAGGTACAAACTGTTAGGTATAAAATAGGCTACAAGGATATATTCTACAACATGGGGAATATAGCCAACATTTTATAATAACTATAAATGGAGTATGATTTTTAAAAATTATGAATCACTATATTGGACACCTGTAACATATAATATTGTAAAACACTTATACTTCAAGAAAAATCAGCCTGTTTGTGCCTCATTAAGCATACATTGTACGTCTGCTTTAAACATTAAAAAGAATGCATTTTATACCAGTACCATGCTGTCTTGATGACTGTAGCTCTATAGTATTGTCTGAAGCCTGGGAGAGTTATTCTTCCAGCCTCTTTCTTTCTCTTCAGTAATGCTCTGGCAATTCTAGGTCTTTGATGGTTCCATATAAATTTTATTATGATTTGTTCTAGTTCTGTGAAATATGTCCTGGGTAATTTGACAGGGATTGCATTAAATCTGTAAATTACCTTGGGCAGTGTGACCATTTTAACAATATTGATTCTTCCAATCCAAGAGCATAGGATATCTTTCCATTTTTTAAAGTCTTCTTTAATTTCCTTCATCAGTGGTTTATAGTTTTCTGTGTATAATTCTTTCACCTCCTTGGTTAGACTTATTCCCAGATATTTTATTACTTTGGGTGGTACAAAAACAGACATATAGACCAATGGAACAGGATAGAGAGCCCAGAAATGAACCCACAAACTTTGGTCAACTAATCTTCGACAAAGGAGGCAAGAATATACAATGGAATAAAGAACAGTCTCTTCAGCAAATAGGTGTTGGGAAAACTAGGACAGCAGCATGTTAAACAATGAAGCTAGAACACTCCCTTACACCATATACAAAAATCAACTCAAAATGGGTCAAAGACTTAAACATAAGACAAGATACAATAAACCTCCTAGAGGAAAACATAGGCAAAACATTATCTGACATACATTTCAAAAATTTTCTCCTAGAAGAAATAAAAGCAAGAATAAACAAATGGGACCTAGTGAAACTTACAAGCTTCTGCACAGCAAAAGAAACCATAAGTAAAACAAGAAGACAACCTACGGAATGAGAGAAAATTTTTGCAAATGAAACCGACAAAGGCTTGATCTCCAGAATATATAAGCAACTCATATGACTCAATAAGAAAAAAATAAACAACACAATCCAAAAATGGGCAGAAGACCTAAAAAAGCAATTCTCCAAGGAAGACATACAAATGATCAAAAGGCACATGAAAAAATGCTCAATATCACTAATTATCAGAGAAATGCAAATCAAAACTATAACGAGGTATCACCTCACACCAGTCAGAATGGCCATCATTCAAAAATCCACAAATGACAAATGCTGGAGAGGCTGTGGAGAAAGGGGAACCCTCCTACATTGCTGGTGGGAATGCAGTTTGGTGCAGCCACTGTGGAAAACAGTGTGGAGATTCCTCAAAAGACTAGGAATAGACTTACCATATGACCCAGGAATCCCACTCCTGGGCTTGTATCCAGAAGGAACCCTACTTCAGGATGACACCTGCACCCCAATGTTCATAGCAGCAATATTTACAATAGCCAAAACATGGAAACAGCCTAAATGTCCATCAACAGGTGACTGGATAAAGAAGAAGTGGTATATTTATACAATGGAATACTACTCAGCCATAAAAACCGACAACATAATGCCATTTGCAGCAACATGGATGCTCCTGGAGAATGTCATTCTAAGTGAAGTAAGCCAGAAAGAGAAAGAAAAATACCATATGAGATTGCTCATATGTGGAATCTAACAAACAAAAACAAAACAAACAAACAAACAAACAAGAACAAAGCATAAATATAGGACAGAAATAGACTCATAGACAGAGATTACAGACTTGTGGTTGCCAGGAGGGTGGAGGGTGGGAAGGGATAGACTGGGATTTCAAAACTGTAGAATAGATAAACAAGGTTATACTGTATAGCACAGGGAAATATACACAAAATGTTATGGTAGCTCACAGAGAAAAAAAGTGAGAATTAGTGTGTATATGTCCGTGTATGACTGAAAAATTGTGCTGAACACTGGAATTTGACACATTGTAAAATGATTATAAATCAATAAAAAATGTTAAAAAAAAAAAAGCAGGCATTTTAAAAATCAAAATGTTGTAAGTATGGTTCAGGCATTGAGTGGTCATTGTAGAAATGGTTTCAGACACATTCCTGCATCACTGAGAACTTGAATTTTCTAAACATTATCAGACTCAAGGACATCACAATTCTTCCTCAAAACAATATCTGCTAGCAGCTGCCAACTTCAGCCCTCTAGTCTCAAGGTCTCCCTTTTAAATGCAACCATTTCAGACACCAACCAAATCTTGCCTAACAAGTACCCTTCTTGCCAACTCCAGTTATAATTGTTGACAACAACTTATGTAATTTTGCAGTTCTTGCCTTTATAAACCTTCCCCATTTTGTAGACAAGTGGAACACAATTCAAGTGCCTCTTGCATCTGTGTCTCTTGGGCTATAGTTCTCAGTTTGACTCAAATGAAACTCTCCTCTATTTCTATTTTGGATTGTTCATTGATTATTTCCATCAACATTACCTACACAAATTATGACAAAATAATTCATAAGAATAATGTAAATCAAACATAAATACATACACACACACACTAACAACTGCACACACATCGGCTTTGGGCAGAAAAAAAGTTGTTGGTTCCATTGTTGTCTTTTGTCACAAGAATTAGAAAAAGACAATAGAATATGATCTAATAGATAGTTCGTGAAAATTGTGGGGATCAAAGAAACCAGTTATCACTGATGCTGTCATCCAGGTGTGAAGGTGAAAAATATATTACTAGATGTACAAGAATTCAGAAAACTTTTTTACTTGTAGGCTTGCCTTGAAATATTTGCTTAGACTTACTCTAGCTGATAGGTAAATTATATTAGCAATTCAAAGATGGAGAAAGTTTCTATAAAACATGAACTGATTCTCTTTTATCTAGCTTGAACCTGAGCTCGTGAATTGAGAAAGACTATCGATAGTCACAAGGAGGCAGTCTAAGAGAATTAAACTTGAAGAGCTGCTTGGTGCCTCCAATGTTCTTGTTTCCTCTTCATTGTCATCACGCCAGATGAATCTCTGTGGGACTAATCCCTATTTATAATCGGTATGGAATTTATCACCGCATCTGTGTATCAATTACAACAATAAATTGTCATGTTCTGTTCCAGTACTTAATTACTAAATATGACTTTCGGGACACTATGAAAAAAGGCAAAAGTTATTATTTTCCCCTTCAAAATGATTGCACAAAGAAATGTTATTGTAATTTTCATTCCCAAGAGTGTTAGATAATGAAAATGTGCAGCTTTAAAATACTTCTTTAATGATCTGAATTAATATCTCTATTAAACTTATAAATGCAATAAAACCACCACGATTTTCCAAAGATGTTTCTTCATTATACAAAGCAATTCAGTTCTGCCGTAGTTCTTACATTTGAATTAACAGAAACTACTATCACCATTATAGGACTCGGCAAAAAAAAAAAAAAAAAAGACACTTCAAATTTTTAAAATTTTCTTTTTATAATTAATAAAGATAGTAATTATTTTATGTTGCATAAGTTTGAGAGATACTAACTTACTTACTTCTTAATAATAACCCAAGATTATTAATCATTACCAGTAATTATTTCAGATACATCCAGACATACTTGGTTGGTATGGGGGTAGAGGGAGCAGCAGAGACCATGACAGCAAAGGCAATACTCACATCAAATAGTTTCCAGGGAATTAACAGAAGGGTACACCTTTAACAAAGTGTTAATCTGCTTTTGACGTAATGGGTGGGGAATGAAAAGAGTAAAATGATCTGTATAAACTTTTCTCCAATTAAGATCGTATTTCTCATCATAAATACTTACTCAACTAGTACCTGCCTAAGTTCAACTTCTTCCTAATGGCAAATAAGCACTATTAAAGCTCTGGCTGGAAACTGCAGGTAAGAAATTTTACAATCTCCTGATAAGAAATACATAAGCAATGTGTACTATATATTTGGATTACTTTATATTTCCTTCTAAAAGAAGTATCAATCATTACAAGGTTGTGAAGGTTGTGGATTAGCTTTGGGATGTTTCACTATCCTTTGAAATAGTTTTCAGCCTTCTTTTTTTTTTTAATACCTTGATTTTTATTTTTAAATACCTTGGTTTTCTACCACCACTCCCTGCCCCGGTGTTACACTTCACAATAATTTTATAAATATTGAAGGAATTATTTTATAGAAGAGTAAATTGAAAGTTTTATCCAAATGTGAGCTCATTGGCCTCTTGAAAGGCTCAGTTCTGACATATAAAGTAACAAATAAGATTTATACTGATGTATGGTGAAGGCAAAATTAATTTTCACAAGTGACTGCTATGGTCTTTAACATAGAGCACATATAAAAATGGAGATGCCATCCTTTGGTGGGTATTTTATTTTCTCAATACTCTGCACTACATTTTTTATATCAATTTATTTTAAATAAATAAATAAATATATACACACACACACACACACACACATATACTACATATCCAAATAAGTTTTATGTAAAGTCAAATTTATTTATTAAAAAAGAAAATTTTAAGTTTCTCTAAAGAAAATCCTGTTGTAAAAACAATAACCAATTTTGGTAATGTAAATACTATGTTTGCTCCTTTTTGTGCAATTAGGGAAAGGACTTTTTTATTATCATTATCTATGATAAAAATATTTATATATACTAGCTTCTTTTCAAATATGTTAGCTTTTTCATTGAATGCAACTGGTTTTGCGCATATCTCTCTCTCTCTATATATATATATAAATCATATTTTTAGCTGTAGTCTCTCAAAAACTTTCTGCAAAGTAACTTTTAGCTTTTCAGTCATCTTAAGGTCAGAATAATTAAAGTCACAATTTCAGACCCTCATTTTTGGAAAAAACTTTTTTGACAACCTCTTTAAACCTCTTTGGTCAATATAATTTCTTCTTTCGGTTTTCTATTAAATTTATAAACTCAAACAAATCTAAAAATTAACCTCAATAGTTTAACAAATTTCTTAATACTTGTCACATTACTAAGTTTTTTTTTAAATCAAAATTTTATGACATGACATTGGTTTCCTCTGTGCATGTTACTTGTCACTAGCATCCAGATACCTCAAACTCCAAAATGAGTGTCATACACTATGTCTCTGATGAAGACTTTCCTATTCTTACCCCTGCCCCAACCCCAAAAAACTGAAAACAATCTCTGCTTTATAGAGCTCTGAACGTTTATTTTGCCTGTGTCATTTCATCTGAAGGCACTTAGCACTTTCTCTAATTAAGATAAGGAGAAGGAAGGAGAGAAAGATGATAGATTTTAAGCATGTCCTTTACTCCAGGCACTATGCTTGTTGCTTAATCAATATTATTTTATTTATTTAATGTAGGAGCCCATGATTGGGTTAATAAATTGTAACAGACCCCAGTGGCCTGTCAGCTTTAAGAACAAATGTACTTAGTAACTGCTTTGCTAGCAGGCGCCTATGCATCCGCACTCCTATCTGCTTGCCATAAAAAGCAGAGACAATGCCTTGCTTGCATAGTTGAGGTTTTAGCTAGCACTCAGCTCTTTGCAAAGCGACGACCCAGGACCTCAGCTATAAACGCTGGGCGTGCCTGCTGTTTAGATGATCTATTATCCCCAAGGCAAGGAACTGGCTGGTCTGGTGGTCTGCTTCGTAATTAACATATCAGAAGAATGTATCTTGTTACCTTCTCCCTGTGACTTCCTTAAAGATAAACTAAGCCTTTGTACTCATTGTGGATTCTCCAATCTCTATCCCACCCTGTCTTTCCCTAAATTCCTGCATTCCATCACACAGCTGTTAGTGAGTTTTCCTTTGATTGTACACAAAAAATGTGGGAGCACTTAAGAAGCTCCTGGAGTCGGTCTTGGACTCCCTCTTGATCTCTTGACTTTCCACAGAGTCTCAAGTAATTCATTCCATCTCTTTGGGACTTCTGCTGGTCAGAACCCACATTTAAATATACATTTATCTTATATATTGTACATATAATTATGTACTGTATAGTATTTATTATGTAGTTATTCATTATGTATTAATAAATATTTTATTATTTATTTTGTTATATTATTTTATAGTCACAAAAAAATCCTAAATTGTTTTTAATTTTCATTTTCCAGATGAAAAACTGAGTCTCATAAATCTTAAGAAGCATAATGTTAGGCCAAGATTTTTTGGCCTAATTAATTCTAAAAACTAAATTCTTTTCATAATGTCCAGCTGAATTTAATATACTATGCTGATTTTTGTGCTGGTTATGTATGAAATTTTCTTATCCCCTGATAGACTGTAAAATAGATAGGAGAAGTATCTCTTTGATTCATCTTTTGCCTTGTAGGGAATTCAGTGTCGAGTAGGTACCCAATAAACACATACAATCTGAATAAATGACTACATTTTACTTGTCTGAAACTGGATCTGACTCCCTGCTAGTAAACAAAGTGAGTGAAATAGCAGTACCCTGTGACAAATTGTTTATCCTAGTGGATCAACTATTTTAATAAGTCTCCTGGCAGGTAATTTTGAACCAGGTTGACAGCACCAGGCAGAAAGTTTGTGCATACCGTAGAATCCTATTGCTCAGAGCCTTGAATTGAAATCCACCCCATGAACGGTATGATTACTCTGCTAAGCTTCGAGTGGTATTTTGTGAAAGTAACTGTTTTAAAGAAGTAGTTAATGCTTCACACAGATTATCTTTAGTGATTAAGAGCTCAAAAGGGACACCAATAAAAACAAATAGGATTTCTAATTTCAATAGACTTATTAAGCAAAAAGAATCATCTCTGCTTATTCACAGACACATGCATACATATGCAGTTTTCATAGCGATTATTTTACTGGGATGACTTGCTCCTACATTTTTCGGTGCCAGTCACACAAATTTATATTGTGCAGTTTATACTGTGTCAGCATGTTTGGGGCAGTCTGTGGTTCATATAGGTAGGTGACTTGGTGCTGACACGAGGACATGATACACTCTGATGGGACAACTATCCTAGTGGTTAATACAACAGACACTGGGAGGCAAAGAGCCTTAAGGCTGCTAACACCAGTTCCTTCTTTATTTTGCTGTAAGAACTTGGCAAGTTACTCAATTCCTCTGAGCGATTGTTCCTTCTTTGATGTGGGAATAATTATAGGACTTACCTCGTTGGATCTTTATTTTTTAAGTGAGAAATAAATGAGATTAACATATATAAAACACTTTGCAAGATGTTTGACACAGAGTGAGGACTTAACTACTTGCAATTTTAAAAAGCTGAGTCCAGATGTAAAGCAGTTGTTATTCACATAGCCTGGCTACCTTTTGAGCAGCACTTTTGATAGAAGCAATTCCTTTCAGATAGCTCTTATTCACTAGTAATATTACCCATCATCTCTTGGATATATTAATTGTACACAGTTTGTTTATTTACTTGTTATTTTTTTCTCAGTGATTCATTAACATAAAATATTTCTTAAACATATTATTAGAGTAGCAACAAACATTACACTTATATTTGTTTGTACTTTGTATTTTTGTAAGTGTTCTCTTTGCAATAACCGAATCTATTAATAACTAGGAACTATAAAAATTAATTGTTGTTAATGACCTTTGTAAAATATATTAAATATTGGAAAACCTATAGCATTAGCATCTTTATATTTCTGTGTAATTTCTGGCCCTATCTGAGGTTTTGGTACCCAGGCCTGAGTGTAGATTTGAGCTAAACAGTGGCTTTAAGCAGTTAAATAGTAATAACTTAACAATTATAAGATGCAAAGAAAGGGTTGAAGGATCAAGTTCAAGAAAAAGATCAGAGAGTAAGAATAACAACCAAAACTAAAGCAAAGGTTGAGAGGTCAGACACTTTACCCCTAAATCTGTAATTATCACAAAATTATCATCATGGAGCTACCGTGACCAATATCATTTGGTAGAGAGAAGGCTTTTAAGAGTATCAGTCATTTTAATCAAAACTGAGAACTAATTTGTTTTTCTTTTTTGCTTAAAAAGCAGAGAAATTCATTTCTGTCATCTAATCTAATCTTCTACATCAAGCCACATCATGTTGAACAAGAACATTCTACTGTTGTCTCTTCAGATAAGTCTTCTAGGAACCACTCTTGGTGGGAATGTCCTGATTTGGCCAATGGAAGGTAGTCATTGGCTAAATGTTAAGATAATTATAGATGAGCTGATTAGGAAAGAGCATAATGTGACTGTCCTAGTCGCTTCTGGTGCACTTTTCATCACACCGACCTCTCACCCATCTCTGACATTTGAAATATATAATGTGCCCTTTGGCAAAGAAAGAATAGAAGGAGTGATCAAGGACTTTGTTTTGACATGGATGGAAAATAGACCATCTCCGTTAACCATCTGGAGATTCTATCAGAAGATGGCCACAGTCATCAAAGACTTCCACATGGTGTCTAGAGAAATCTGTGACGGTGTTCTCAAAAACCAAAAGCTAATGGAAAAGATGAAGAAGAGCAAATTTGAGGTCTTGGTATCAGATCCAGTATTTCCTTGTGGTGATATAATTGCTTTAAAACTGGGAATTCCATTCGTATATTCTTTGAGGTTTTCTCCAGCCTCAACAGTGGAAAAACACTGTGGGAAGGTACCATACCCACCTTCCTATGTTCCTGCTATTTTATCAGAACTCACTGACCAGATGTCTTTCAGTGACAGAATAAGAAATTTCATTTCCTACCATCTACAGGACTACATGTTTAATACTCTTTGGAAATCGTGGGATTCCTACTACAGTAAAGCTTTGGGTATGTTACATTTTTTTATTATTTGAATTTGAACAAACACTTCTTTACTTCCCTATGGCTATTATTCTTCAATCCTACATGTTGATTAATATCATTTGATAGCAGGGAAGATGATAAAAGATACTATCCTTTGGAAATACAGTGTGTTGTTTTCTAATTTTATGGACTTGAAGATATCACCTAAATTCTTTTATGGATAACAAACATATGGTGACAAATATAAGTTTAAAAATAGGACTAAATTCCCATTTAGATATTACATTGAAAATAGAAATTGCCTAGAAACTTCAGTGGGTGGGCTGTGGGGAAAGCTGGAAGAGATTCAGCTTTCTACAAGCCTATTATTATAGACATTTGTGTGTGTTTAAACCCATATATGTTTATGGATATGATTATTGCACATAGATGTCCTACTACTTACTATCTACTAGGCACTTCCTTCAACAGGGAAGTTACAACAAAGACTAAGATAAAGCTCCTGGCTTCAAGAAATTTGCAGTCAAGCAGAGAAGTCAGACATGAAAAGGAATATTTACAGTATGACTAATGTGGGTAATGGACATATGTATAAAGGACAGAGGTAGTATAAAGGAAACAGGCAAGTGAGATGAGAGAGTGGTATTCCAAAAAATTTAAAGAGTTAAGGTGATGCACAAGGAAATTTTTAAACAGTGAATATGAATTTTCCTACAAACTAAGTGTGGGGGAGGAAAACAGTATGTTCCATGTTGTGGAGTCTTAAAATAGCAGTCTCAGTATTTATGAAGGTCAAAGTATAAAGTTGGGAGGCACGGGAAAGAATGCTAGAGATGTCAAAATTGCAAGAATGAATTTATTCAATAAGTATTCACAAAGTCTCTTGCATGTCATGCTAAGCATCTTGGTTTTTATCTAATAAGGAACTGGGGAATGTTGAAAGGGATGTATTATGACTGGATCACATTTTATTTAAAATACCTGGACAGATGTGGACCTAGAGTGGAGGGCAGTTAGACTGTAGGCTACTGTATCATGCCTGGAAAGATGCGATAGGAGCACGTACTAGTGAAGTAGCTTATAAACAGAGAAAAATAATGCAGATGAGTCCACAAAGTAACAACTAGGAGAGCAGGCTGTTGATAACTGGTTCCCAGTTAGGAGTGTGTGACCATGGAGGTGTAATTAAGTTTCTTTGCACCTGCATTTATTTATCCCATCTCTAATAGGACTACTGAAAGAACTAAATTAGTTAACATATGAAAGGATTTTAAGACAGTGTTTAGGAGCTAATAACCATTCAATTAGAGTTTATCAGATAAAATTAATAAAAGCTGATAATTGGTGAGGAGTGTTAAAGGGGGGATGAGGAAGAGATTAAAATGGTTTATTTTTGTGATATAACTGACAAATAACATTGATTAGTTTTGGGTGTACAATACAATGACTTGGTATTTGTATATACTGCTACATGATGACCACAATAAGTCTGGGTAGCATCTGTCACCACACATAGTTCCAATTTACTTTTCTTTAATAAGAATTTAAAGCTCTGCTCTTTTAGCAACCTTCAAAAATGCAATACAGTTTATCAGTAACTACAGTCATCATGCTGTACATTAGATCCCCAGGACTTATTTATTTAATAACTGGAAGTTTGCACATTTTGACCACCTTCACACATTTCACTGACTCTCTACCCCTCACCTCTGGCAACCACCAGTCTGTTCTTTGTATATACGAGTTAAGGTTTTGTTTTGTTTTGTTTTAAGGTTCCACTTATAAGTGAGATCGTATAGTATTTGCCTTTCTGTCTGACTTATTTTACTTGGCATGTCCTCAAGCTCCAACCATGTTGTTCCAAATGATAGGATTTCCTCCTTTGTTATCACTAAATAATATTTCATTGTGTGTGTGTGTTTGCGTGCGCACGCACAAGCCATGGAAACAATCTAAGCGTCTATCGTTGGATAAATAAAGAAAATGTACTACCGTACGTGACTATTGTAAATAATGCTGCAATGAACATGGGGGTATAGATATCTTTCCAAGTTGGTTTTCATTTTCTTTGGATAAATATTCAGAATTGGAATTTCTGGATCATATGGTAGTTCTATTTTTTATTTTTTCAGTAGCCTCTATACTGTTTTCCTTAGTGGCTGTACCAATTTATATTCCCAACAACAGGGTGTGAGGATTCCCTTTTCTCCATAGCCTCACCAACATTAATCTTTTAGTTTTTTTTATAACAGCTGTCCTAACTGGTGTGAGTTGATATTGTGTTTTTGATTTGCATTTCCTTGATGGTTAGTGTTGTTGAGCATTTTTTCATGTATCTGTTGGCCATTTGTATGTTTTCTTTGGAAAAATGTCAATTCAGATCCTCTGCCCATTTTTAGCCTTTTTTTTTCCTACTAGGTTGGATAAATTTTTATATATATTTTGGATATTAGCCCCTTATCAGATATATGATTTGCAAATATTTTTCTCCCTTTTGGTAGGCTGTCTTTTTATTTTGTTGATGGTTTCCTTTGTTGTGCAGAGGCTTTTTAATTTGATGTAGTCCCACCTGTTTATTTTTGCTTTTGTTGCCTTTGCTTTTGGGTGTCAAATCCAAAAAATCACTGCCAAGATCTGTGTCAAGGAACTTACTGCCTGTATTTTCTTCTAAGAGTTTTGTAGTTTCAGTTCAGTGAGAATAAAAGTCTTTAATCCAATCTGAGTTAATTTTTCTATAAAGTGTAAGATAGTGGTTCAGTTTTCTTCTTTCCCATGTGGGTGTCCAGTTTTCCCAACACCATTTATTGAAGAGACTGTTTTTCTTCTACTTTCTACTTGGCTCCTTTGTTACAAATCAGTTGACCACATATGAGTGGATTTATTAAAGAGGAGTGTCAAGAAGGATGTAAGTTACAGTTGATGCATCATCTCCTCTGGATATGTTCAATAGTTTCCCCCTAATTCAAAAACAGATATTTATCCCCTGGAATGTAAACAAAGACCCAGCTGTTCTGACATTAAGAGAGAATATTCATAGCTACTATGGTGATTATAAACTACCCTCTGAAGATAAAAGTGAACAGTCAACATTGGAGGACTAAAGCTGGACCTTAAAAATAAAGAAGATAAAGAAATGGCAACTTTATGAAGCAATGAAGCTGTCAAGATCTTCAAAAACTCTTTAGTCTCCTCATGCACGTCGTTAACTAAGTGACATCTGAATACATGCAGCATCTAAGTTAATAAACTAGAGGAACGTGTATGGAGACTTCCTTGGTCACAATATATGTCCACATTTTTATCTCATCACTTATATTTTTATCAACTACTTGTTCTCAACCTTGGAATAATAATTATCAGGATTACAATGCTCCTTATTAAGTTGGTGAAATTACCCTTAGGTAAACCTTCCCCATGCTGGCAGTCTCAGAATCACGTTTCATTCTATTTTACTTGTAAGTTAATGCTGGTAATAAAACCACACTATTTTCCTAGTCCTAACACATGAGAATAATCTTTCCTAACAATTTGTTCATGGGAATGTAATGAAGATTTCTAAAAATGTTCTTACTCTCTGATTTTGATAATATCATGTTTCTAATCAAATTACAATCTTCCAACTTAGAATGACTATTTAAGTTTGTTTTACTAAAACACAATATTATTGATGCCCAGGGACATGAGCACATATATTCAAAAGATCAGGTAAGAAGTAGAAATACTGATAAGTCAGAGTAATTTATTTTTGTGCAAGACTTTGCACAAATGAAATGATAAATGAGGGTGATGAATGGACCTGACTTGTAAAAAGAGCTTATTTCCAACTTGTAATTTGAATTTACATTTCACTTTAGCTTGAACGCTCTAATCAAAGTCATTGCAACAAATCGACATCTTCTCAGGCCTCAAATTGTCACACCTGAGTAAATAAATAGAGGACAATTTTCTGGGAGATTATTTTTCTTCAAGGAATGCTATAAGAACCACAGAGTGAGTCCTTAATCTCTGCTAATTGCTAGGAATTGGATATTATGATGTGGAAATTACTTCTTTTATTTCAGGTCATGGGTATTTGGTTTGAACTCATGAATATCATTATAGTAATAGCAGGTAATATTTGTTGATCTCTTTTGCACTGGACACCATAAGTGCTTCACATATAATATATCTCTTAATCCTTGCAATGAATTTGTGAAGAGAAAATTAGTATCTAGACCAGTTTTTCTCTCCTTTTAAAATTTCAGGTGTAAATCCATTAGTTATTCAGAATATTTTTAGTTTAAACTTTCTTTGGTACTTTTCTTCTTCCTTTCAATGTACTTAGTTTTTGAAATCATTACTCTATTTCTCGCCTATTTTAATTTGCCAAATGGTGTTTAATTGGGCCATGTTATCACTAGGTAGCCTGCTCTTCCTTAAGGCATAAAACGCCAGGTGACTGTTGCCTGGGGCGATTTGCCTGAGCATAGCTTTCTGGTCCTAAGAGCCTCACTTCAACTGAAAATAAGAAAAGGCTTCTGCAGAATTTAAATAGTATTTGTTTAAAGTTGAACCAGGCAAATTCTATTTTTATGTTTATGTTAACAAAAATACCATCAAAATTGAGGAAACATTTAAGAAAATAATGATATAGCATTTTAATGCCAATAAAAATATTTATAAACCATAAATATCATCTATTGCTACCAGACAGTTTTATCCTGTGGCCATTATAAAAACAAATGGGTTTTGTTGTGAGTAAGCTTTATATATTAGATTTATACAAATATCTAATGTATTATTATATACAAATAATTAGGTGAACAACTTCTAAATTAATAAATTAATTTTTAAAAACTAATGCCATCTATAACAATATATCTTGAAAATATGTTAAATTCAGTAGGAAAAACAGCAGACCTCCAAAAAAGAAAAAAAAATGACCATAATATTCAGCTCTTTACATGAACTAGGTACTCGCTGAGCACAAGTAATTAATGTAAAATAAAGTGTTAGAAATGAAACAAATTTGAGTGTATATCTACCTCTCCATTAGTGCTTGATTTTCACTGTTCATTTGAAAGAAGATAAAAAATGTATTGGAGTCTTTCCTTTGAAGGGCAATACATTTTTGTTTGGATCTTTCTTTTTCTTTCTTTCTTTTTTTTTTCCCCCCCTCTTCCTAGCTTTTTCTTTGCTTCCCTCTCTCATTCCTTCCTTTCTGTTTCTATTTTTTAATTTAAGTTAAACTTGGTTGGTTAGGATTTTCCAAATCACCACCGGTAGCATTCCCTTTTCCACAATTACCCGTGAGCCGGACAACAGCCATGGGCATGACATCCGAGACGGAATTTGCAGGGGGACCTGCACAATTTCCAGGGAGAGATTTCTCTCGTTATTTGCTCCCACTCATTGGAAGGGAATGAAGCTCAATCTTTATGCATATAAGCTTGAATTTTATGTTTGCTTATTTCTTAAATCACTTGTAAACTTTGGTACTGAATACATTGTTAGTAATAAATCGTTTGTGGTATGTCCGGAGACTGAGCGTGACTGACGCTCGTGAAGGGACTTGCCCCTGGTTGGCACATCCGCACCAAAGCTCAGGTGCCCCCGGGGAGCCATTGTGTGAGGGGTGGAAGAGAGGAGGTGGAACTAGGTGATGAAATCTGTTTAAACTGGTCATTTTTAAAGTCAGATTCTCTCCCTACAATAGCATGTATAGCTAACATTCATTGAGCACAAATGCTGTTCGGAAGAATTTACATGCATTGTTTCACTCTGTCCTCACAATTTTACAGGAAATACACATCGTCATTCTCCCCCACTTTGTAATCTGGAGGCTAGAAACTTGCCTGAGGTTACAATTAAGGAAGTGGTGAAGCATTTGATGGCAGTCCTGGGGCGAAAAAGAAAGCTTTAGAAGATACTCAGTTTATATAGAGTAAAACAAAGAGAAAAAGAAGAGAGCGCACCTAAATTTAAAATTTCAAAGGAATTAAATAAATGCCAATCAAGGAACTCAAATGAAATGTAAGCATTAATGTAAGGCTAAAACTATAAGGTTACTAACGACTCGATTACTCAGGTTCCTAAAACAATATGAAGATTGATTTCCAGGCTTTTGTGCCACTGGAACCACCTCCAGACCTGAGAGACAATAAGAAATGAATCAGCACAATTCAGTCCCAGCCGTTCAGCGCATTATTCACGGAGCACACGGGAAGAGTACACCGTCAAGGCAGGACATGTCTTCAGAGGAAAACTTTAATAAGAAAAACTCCTGTACAAAAATATTGTTTTGAGGATTTTTCAATTTAAACTAATAGCATTATGCATATTTTAAGAAACTTTAATATTAATTTAATTTTATACAGATGACTAAACATTCTCTAGCAGGCATTAAATACAAAACTTTATTAAATTTTATTCTGAGAACTTTATATCCATTTTATTACTATTTGAAGCCCTCTCTTTTAAAATAAACAGAGAACAAAAAGGATCACTTGATTCTGTAGGGGGACAAAACTTGCCACCTCAAACTGAATCTTTGGCTTGAGGATTATTTGGGGCTGATTTTTTTTTAGAATCAAAAGGTTCTGGAAGTCTTTCTTTTTACCCCTCCCTTAACTGCCTAAAATATTTTAGATAAAAGCCCTGGTCCAGGAAGAGCCCTCTCACCACAGATACCTACAAAGAACATGGGCTACTGTCAATGGACACTCAACAGGGCCTGGAGGCCAACGTCCACTCCTGGTCCCATCGTCTCTGTGTGGCACCAAAAACACTTGTTTACCAAATACTGTTTTTCCACCTCTGTGTGAATTGCCTTCCTCCCCTTCGAAGTCCCCAACCCTACCCACTTCTCCCTCTCTCAGATGGCATATAAGCCTCAACTGCCCAACCTATCCTTGGGCCTCATAGTCTTATGGAACCCCGTATATCATTAAATTTAGTTTTTCTCCTGTTCGTCTGTCTCATGTCAGTTTAATTCTTAGACAAGTTAGAAAAACCTAGAAAAGTTAGAGGGAAAGTTTTGTCCCTCCCTCACAATTCAAAATACAAGAACAATATTCAAATTCGTGCACATTTTCTATGGCTGATCTGTTTTTCACTCATTGTACTTATATATTGATGTTTCACAGGCATGCGTTTTTAAAATTATTTTCTGACCTCTTTGGTTATGTTTAAGATGTCACTATCAAATGTTCACAATAGGAAATGTCATGTTTTCTAATTTTTACTACTATAAAATGTATCTCAAGTATTAGATTTAAAAAGTGGAATATAGAAGAAAGAATACTTATGCATTACTAGTATTGTGACTTTCAGATTATTTAAACCTCTCTTGATCTTTTTTTCTCACATACAAAATGATGGAGTTGGATAAGCTGGACTTGTACTGTCTCTAGAATGAAAACAATACCAGAATTCTGTTATGCAAAACTTATTCAAAACTGCTGTTAGTGAATTCATAAAGCAAACAAATATGTGATCCTTTTAAATTAGTGAACTTCATTTTGTCCTGAAATTGGGCTTATTTGGCAGGAGCTATTTTTTTTTTTCACTGATAGAAATTTAAATCTAAGCTTATACCTACATTTGTCTCCAAATATTTATTTTCTATCTCTTTATAATTTTTGAATTTGCAATTATGAAACATTTCAGGAAACCAAAGAATAAATCTAAAGAACATCTACACTGATGTCAATGGGATTAAACACCTTAACATCCAAGAATAATTTGAAAACAAAAAGACATGTACATCAGCTTTCATTAATTCTATTATTTCCTATTGTTCTTTACTAAATTAGATAATTATGTTATTTTCCTGAAGAGAACACTTAACAGTGGAAGGTTGATTCCTTGAACTCTTGAATGATTTTTTTTTTTAATTCAGGGTAATTTAGGTCTGCCTACATGCATTTGATTCTGGAATATATATTGACAAGGTTTTAAGTGCTAACATAGATATTGCTAGTGGGTAATTTCTACTAAATCATTATATTATTCTTAAAAGGACTTCAATAATTAGACAGATCCCAGTATTTTATAGATAAACTTTGGTTATCCCTTTTATGTTGTTGTGTTTTGTCATCTTTTAATAAGGAGGTCATGATGACAACAGTTTTCTTTACGAAGATATTTCTTCACTAGGCCTGTTTTAATGGCCGTCCAGATGATTCCTACCGTCCGTTTACTGCTTTGTTTCAAAACCTAATTAATTTTAAAGGTACTGCCTCTGTATCCAAATTGAGGCTAGCTCTTGGAAGGACACAAATACAATCATTCTAAAAGCATCACTTCTCTTCCCCTCTTTCCCTTTCTCTGCCTTCCTGGTTCTTTTGTTACTCAAGGGCCTGAAATTACACAATTCAAGAGTAACAGAGTAAGAAGAGAAAAACTGCTATTTAATTTCCATTCTCAGTTCCTGGCTTCTATCCTTTTAATCTCTTTATTTGTTCTTATTTTCTCTTTTTAATGGCAGCCTCTAATAATTTTAACTTTTAAATTATCACCATTATACAGTTGCCCTCGTTGGGACTGATCTTCACTAAGAGCCTCAACTAATAGATACCATTATATCCATGTCTAGCTACTCATTCTGTAGCTAGTCTGCTGATTTACTGATCAACCTTGAGGCAAAGTAATTAGACTGTTAACATTACTAAACTCTTGATCTGAGCTAAGCAGTTTGCAAAGCAGCTTTACAGATATTATTGCTAATCCCCAAGTAAGGTAACAAATTAGCATTAGTTCTCATTTATACATGAGAAAACTAAGGCTAAGAAGATATAGGTAATTCACCATCATGAAGCTTATAAAAGGACAGTTTTTGAATCTGGCTCTATTGAACTCTGGTGTCACCTAATTTAAGCTATTAAATAACACTGAGTGAAAAATCATGTGGTTCCCCGGGGTGCTGGTCCCTATTTCCTTGATTTGTATATAAAGATGTCATAGGGGAAAATTTCCCTGTAACAAGAAGACAATGATCGATTTGCTTTATCACAGAAGGAAAGGATTCTCTATCAAATATGTAGTAATTTACGCTATACCCCAATTAATCTTAAACATCCTGAAGTATTTGAGCAAACTCTTCCAAGTGACACTTTAAAAATTTTTTTTCATAAATATGTGCCATGGGGAAAGATAATAATGCTGGTCATTGTGCATAGCCAAAGTTCCTAAAACTTACAAAGATGAGGCATAGCATTGTAAAAAGCTGGCCATGAGTGGAATAAGGTTAGAATTATAGTCCCAGTTGTTCTACTTGTCAAATATGTTTCTGGGTGTGCAATTCAACATTAGTTTCACTATCCATGAAATGGAGTGAATCACTTTCACCACACAAGATTGTGAAAAGGATTGAATTAGACAATGTATGTAAAAATGCCTTGTAATAAAGGCAACCAACTGGAAAGTACTACAAATTTTGACAAAGCAGCTTTGACAATAAGAACTGTTATTTTTCATTTAACAAAATTTTGGGATATACACATTTTATAAGTCATAGTATCACAGAGAACACAGATATCAGGTTTATAACCTGCCTGCACTTTTTCTTTAAAATAGGGCCAGATTTCATTTCTTTTGCTGAAATAATTATATTAGTGCATTTAGGAATTTGAACTATATTGTTTTCCTTTCAAACTCTAGACCAATGGACCTATGAATGAGTGTAGCTGTCACATTAAATATTATTTTATAATAAAATAAAAATTATCTACCTAAATACACTTCTAAAGTTTCTTTTCATTTTAAAAGATCTGCAGTAGGAGAGTTTCCATAATGGACATCACCATGCCTAAGAAGTTTTTCCATCTGCTGGTTTTTAATTTGATGCTGACTCAAATTGTTCTAACTGGGAACGTGCTAATTTGGCCAACAGATGGTAGCCATTGGTTAAATATTAAGGTCATTTTAGAAGAGTTGAATCGAAGAAATCACAATGTGACTGTGCTGGCTTCATCAGAGACCATATTCATCAACTCCAGTCCTGATTCTCCTGTGAATTTTGAGGTGATACCTGTTTCCTACAAGAAGAGCAATATCGATTCCTTCATTGAACATATGATAATGCTGTGGATACATCACAGACCAACTCCTCTCACACTCTGGGCTTTCTACAAAGAACTAGGAAAACTCCAAGAGACTTTTTTTCGAATTAATATCCAAATCTGTGATGGAGTATTAAACAACCCCGAGTTAATGGCAAGACTTCAGAAAGGTGGTTTTGATGTGTTGCTGGCTGACCCGGTAACAATCTGTGGAGACCTGGTTGCTCTGAAATTAGGAATTCCATTTATGTACACGTTGAGGTTCTCTCCAGCCTCAACAGTGGAGAGACACTGTGGGAAAATCCCAGCACCAGCCTCCTACGTACCGGCAGCCCTTTCCGAGCTCACTGACCAGATGACCTTCAGCGAAAGGGTTAAAAATACCATATCTTATCCTCTGCAAGACTATATATTTCAATCCTACTGGGGAGAATGGAATTCATACTACAGCAAAGTTCTAGGTAAGTCTCTAAAATAGTCTCTCACTAATGATTCCAGATACCTTATTTATTCTAATTGTTAGTACAGCAAAATGCTCCCATACCAGTGCATATGCCAAGTTGAAGTAAATATACCTGTATCTCTGTAAACGTCCTTGAAAATTATCTTTGGACACATTCTTTAAAAAATAGACTGGTGGTGTTAATACATATGCTCTTGTCTCAAAGCAAATAATCTTCCCTATTTAAAATGGTAATAGCTTTTCAATGTGGCAATCAATATTCAAATATAAATGAAAGCACCTTTACTAGGATAAATTATGACACTGAGAAAAAAATACCTTGGCAAATATTTTAAAGTGATATCTGGTTTACTTTCCCTTCTTTGTTCTTCATTCTTTCTTTGTCTGAAGAAGCTTTAAGATTGGGCACTGGAAACTTGAATGTATACCCTCCTCTGCTTCTCAGTCTCTCTATCCTTAGGCTCCCCTGGGTGCCTGGGCCAGCACTGCCTCCAACTTAATTGCTCAGGGACGGTGGGCAAGCCTCAGGTTGCCTTGTCTCGCAGACTCCTTATGAGGAGCATACAAAATAAAGCAAGCTGTCAAGGCCAGTTCTGGTTGGTTGTTGATACCGCTTCTCTTTCTCACTTTTGTAAGTCCTCCTTAGTTAATTTTTCTATTTTCTTCTCTCCTGAATATATTTTTTCTCTAGATCTATTTGTAGTAGCAGAGATGTTAATTCACAACAGGAATTAGTAGTTGATGCTGCCAGTGGTACTTTCTTACAAAGGTAGTATGACTATTCTTTTACTCACCTTTCTGCCTTCCTCCAGCCCTCCTTCCCTCCCTCTCTCTGTTTCTTTTCCTTCCTTCCTCCCTCCCTCTCTTCCTTCACTTATTTTCCTCCCATCTTGTGTAGGAAAGTTACCAAATACCAACCCAATACCTCCCTCTTTTCTAGGCACTAGGAATGCAAGCGGTAGCCAAACCCATCAAAATCTCTATCTACCCTCATGGAGCTTACATTCTAGTAAAAAGGAGACAAATGAATAAAATAAATATATAAAATATATAATAGGAGGAGAGTGTTAAGCGTGTGATATATACTATATGGTAAAATAAGACCAGATAGTTCTTAGTGTAGGGTTACACTTTTAAATAGAGTGGCAAGGGAAGGTTCCAAATGAAAGGATGACATTCAGACAAAGACCTGAGGGCAGTGAGGGTGAGAACCAACAGGATCCCTGGAGGAAAAGCATTTCAGATGTAGATAAGAACAGTGCAAAGACCTGTGTTAAGCCATAGAAGCAGGATTTACGTAAGGATTTACAATAAAGATTTATTGTAACTCGACCTTAATCTGACCTTCCACAAGTAGGATCTCTAATTTTTTTTCTTTTCTTTTTCTTTTGGAATACTCTTTAACCAGTGTTCCATCACTTAAACTTTTAAACATCTTTGTAGAACTGATTTAGACGGAAGACACTAAACATACCACACGTATAAATGAAACATACAGAAGCTAATTAAAATCTGCATATACCTTTGAAAATATGGTAGAATTTTGAAGGCAAAATTCAGTGGTTTTGTATTTTTTATAATGTAACGTAACTGTATTTTTTTCCTGGATTTCAAATTACATAGGCCTCAAAAACATACTTAGCTTTAAATGTAGGTGTTATTCACATGATTACTCCCCAAAACATTTGAAATATGTGCTATAATAATCATCACTGAGCATATATGTATCACACACTAACGACTGCAGGTTTGAATGACATAGCAGTCTGTATTTCTTAAATAGGGAGCTGCAAAAAGTAAAATAGTGAAAGTTCTCGCAAAGCACAGGAGATTCTGTGTTCAAGTTCCACTTGCTAATTCTGTGATCTCAGGCAGATAACTTAAACTCTGAGTCACAGTACATCCTTCTCTTTAAAGTGGGGTAATTATTTCACTGTATTACTATTTTTTAATTGAAGTATAGTCAGTTACAATGTGTCAATTTCTGGTGTACAGCATAGTGACCCAGTCATGCATATATATATACATATATTTGCTTTCATATTCTTTTTCATTAAAAGTTATTACAAGATATTGGATATGGTTCCCTGTGCTGTACAGAATAATTTGTTTTTATCTATTTTTTATATATAGTGGTTAACCTTTGCAAATCTCAAACTCCCAAATTTATCCCTTCCCACCCCCTTTCCCCCTTAACCACAGATTGTTTATTATGTCTGTGAGTCTGTTTCTGTTTTGTATTTCACTATATTCTCTAGGATGATCATATGACAGTATATGTATGGCTATTCTGTAGCAACTGAGAAGGATTATACTTATGTTGACTGTCATTTACACCAAACTACATGAGAACTCTGCAGTGACAATGCCCTAATTACACTACCACAGGGCTCTGGTACATAGAGTAGTCAGTAAATATCTATAGAAAACAAATGACCTCTGGGATATACTAAATCTCCTCTCTCAAAGGAAACCATGGCAAATTATATAATGTGTGAAAAAGGCTTTGTGAAACAGAATGTTCCTGATTTCTCATTTTCACAGGATAATAATCTAGTTTCAGAAATCCCACTTATTAAGAGATTAAATATCTTATTTACTTAAAACCTTTACGCTCCTCATGTTACTAAACATAGTTAGACAACAAATAACTACCTTGAATATTCTATTTCAAATTGAAGTACATTTTCAAGAAGAACTGGTAAAATCCAATCTGTTTTTTGTTTGCAATTACATTCTTAAAGTATTAGCAACACCTGTTAACCGTAAACTGATGCTGAAACAGGGCAGGTACCTTGTATTCGATATTATTATCTTTGAACAAAAGAGATTTCATAACATGTCAAATATCTCTGTGTTCCCTTTTCAATAGCTATTCTTCATTTCTGTGAGAAAAAAATTAGAAAAATAACATTTAACTGTGGTAAAGAAAAAAATGATACAGATCTGTTTTCAAGGAAACAGAAGTAAGTAACAAGGAAATATCTAATTGCACCGTTTAAAAATCCTATTGTATTTATCAATGAGAAAATCATTTATGGATGAAGCAGATAAAAATGATGATCAATTCCATTTTAAATATGCATCTAACTCCTAATGGAACAAGCGTGTCTAGGTATATGCTAGTCGCTGTTATTCATATCCAGGAGTGACTCTATTCATCTTGCCCTGGCTGATTGTCCTGTGGTATCTTCAAATTGCCCTGAGCTGGATCTCTCCCTCCACCTCAGGGAGATCTGCTGTACATACAGCAAAAGGATAGTTCTCATGTGGGCAGGATTTGGGACCACCCTTTGCTGCAGCTATAGGAAGACCAAGGGCTTGAAAGTTGCAGTGAAAATAGTGAATTCGGTAAGGAAACTGGATGGCTGTCGGAGCCAGCCGACAACGAGCAGGTCCAGAAACCTGTGCTACAGGACTGAGAAAAGAAAGACGACACTAAAAGGTGGGGTTGAGAGGGTCGCACTCTAATAAGTCTGCAAGACGCAAGACCAAGAATGGACGACGAGTTTATTTTCAGCAGTTAATTTATACAATTTCAACCAGCTAGAGTGTGCATTCCTTCACGTAGGCAAAGGCATTGTCTTCTAAACTTAAGACCACCTGATAGCGTGTAGTAAAATCATTAACTTGTGTATTGTTCCCATAAACCGCCATAGGCTTAGATCAGTAACTTGTATGCTGATTGTATCTTCTTGCCCAAAGGCCATTAGTGTCTCATTAGCATAGGACGTTCCTGAGGTTTTAAGATTCCTTGGCGCAAACATCTCAAAGGGGTGGTGGGACAGAGATTGTCTTTGATAGATCAACCTCAAAGCCTGACGCTAGCACTCAAGATTTATTATCCTGTTTTGTGCCGGCCGTCCTCAGGTCATGAGTGGCTCCCCACAGATGGCCTCATGTTGCCTGTGTCTTTTGGTTTCCTGGTTTGTCTCCATCTTTCCCAGCACACTGCAGAGGAGGAAAGGAAAGCCCAGTGCTAATCTACGCGCCAAGTGTAGCCTACTCTTACCTGTCAGTACCACGTGGGCTCCGTGTTGGTCCCTCTTTCCTGACTGCTAAATTGTGGATGGATTCCTTAGAACTAAACCTTTCCCTAGCTTTCCCCAAATTTCCTGGAACTGAGCTGCACTACTCAACATTTTTATATTTGATCCTGGCTACCTTTCTGGATCTAGTATTTTGTTTATTTGCTTCTTTTTCTGTATCCCACTCCCATTCTAATCCCCATTGCCAACCTCTCATCCTTTTCCCAGAAAACTTGGATCTCTCCGTTAATCTGTCCTCACGTAAGCTTTTAATTCCTCCTCACATACCACTTTCCTGCGGTCAGTGCTGTGAGATTTCTAAAATTCTGTGTAACCTTTCTTTTGAGATTAAACGTAAATCATAAATTGTACAGCTCATTGCAGTTTTGCAATATAAACCCATCCATGCAAACCAGTATCCAAACCAAAAAGCAAAACACTACTACACTCATAACTCCTTACTGTTCTTCATACCAGTCCCTACAACTCCTGTCTGATGGATCGACTTTCTTGACTTCTGACACCACAGATTAAATTGCCTGATTTAAACTGTGTAAATGAACCACACATTATGGCTCTTCTGTATTTTGCACCTTCTGCTTAATGTCATGATGTTTATATTTGTTCAAGTTGTTGCATGCAGGTATAGTGTGTTCATTCTCATAGCTATACGGAGTCTAATGTATTAATATACATTTTACTTATCCATGCTACTGTTGGTGGACACGCAGACTATCTTGGTTTTGGCTATTTATGATAAACACTGCTATGAACATTCATGTACACGTCTTTTAGTGAATATATATGTGCCATACTAGGGGGTGTATACATGAGAGTGGAATTGCTAAGTTGCAGGGCATGTATATGTTTAGCTTTAGAAGATGCTGCTAAATTCTAGTTTCCCAAGGGCTTGTGCCAGTCAATAATCTCATCAGCCATTTCCAGCTGTTCTCCATTCTCATCACCAGTT